TAGTAGTAGTAGTAGTAGTAGTAGTAGTAGTAGTAGTAGTAGTAGTAGTAGTAGTAGTAGTAGTAGTAGTAGTAGTGTAGTAGTAGTAAGTAGTAGTAGTCGTAGTAGTAGTAGTAGTAGTAGTAGTAGTAGTAGTAGTAGTAGTAGTAGTAGTAGTAGTAGTGGTCGTGGTAGTGGTAGTGGTAGTTGTAGCAGTAGTCGTCGTTGTAGTAGTTGTCGTCGTTGTAGTCGTAGTCGCCGCGCTGCCCGCGCGCGAGCCGCGGCTGCCGAGGCCAGAAGCGCAGATGGAGCGGCCCCGGCGGATCGCGGAGGAGCGTCCGCGGGGAGAGGCGAAGAAGGGACAGGTGCCGAGGGGCCGTGGCGAGGATAAGCGGTTGCGAGGAATGGGGGGAGGAGGGGGATCATGAAGGGGGAGGAGGAGGAAAAGGTGAGGAGGTAGAGGAGGGGGAGGAGGAGGGGGAGGAGGAGGAGGAGGTGGAGGAAAAGGAAGGGGAAAGGTGGCTAGGAGGGGGAGTTGAGGTGGAGTTGGAGGAGGGATGGGGAGGAGGAGGGGGAGAGAGATGAGGAGGAGGAGGAGGAGGAGGAGGAGGAGGAGGAGGAGGAGGAGGAGGAGGAGGAGGAGGAGGAGGAGGAGGAGGAGGAGGAGGAGGGGAGGAGGAGGAGGAGGAGGAGGAGGAGGAGGAGGAGGAGGTGGTGGCCACGGTCCATTGTAGGCCGGCCTGTGCGGTGCATTCGGTTAGCTTGACGAAGTTTTGATTTTCGATGTGGCTGTGTCGCCCGTAGTGTTTGGCACGAAAAAGGAGGACGAAAAGGAACAAGAGGAACGGGATTGGGGAGTACGGATAACTTGAGGTAGCATGGCCTTGGGGCGCCTTGGACCTCGTTTTCTGGTGCCACCGCCCTGAAGGGCGCGCGCGGTCCAGACCGCGCGGAACGAGCTCGTTCTGGGCCAGGAACCTGCCATAGTCGCGGGAAGCCCGCAAGAGGGTCGCAAAAGGGCCCCCGGAGCGTTGTCAGGGTGGCCCCCAAGTGGGATCAACACCGTAATTCATGTTGGTACCTGTCCGATTGGCATGAAGCCTTCCAGGGAGTCCCAACGGGCTCCATCTCGGTCACGAACTGACCCACAAGGCAGACGGACACCGTAGATGTTCATCGTTGGGACAAGCCCCGCTTCGGTAGTAGTAGTAGTAGTAGTAGTAGTCGTCGTAGTAGTAGTAGTAGTAGTAGTAGTAGTAGTAGTAGTAGTAGTAGTAGTAGTAGTAGTAGTAGTAGTAATATTAGTAGTAGTAGTTTTAGTAGTAGTAGTAGTAGTAGTAGTAGTAGTAGTAGTAGTAGTAGTAGTAGTAGTAGTAGTAGTAGTAGTAGTAGTAGTAGTAGTAGTAGTAGTAGTAGTAGTAGTAGTAGTAGTAGTAGTAGTAGTAGTAGTAGTAGTAGTAGTAGTAGTAGTAGTAGTAGTAGTAGTAGTAGTAGTAGTAGTAGTAGTAGTAGTAGTAGTAGTAGTAGTAGTAGTAGTAGTAGTAGTAGTAGTAGTAGTAGTAGTAGTAGTAGTAGTAGTAGTAGTAGTAGTAGTAGTAGTAGTAGTAGTAGTAGTAGTAGTAGTAGTAGTAGTAGTAGTAGTAGTAGTAGTAGTAGTAGTAGTAGTAGTAGTAGTAGTAGTAGTAGTAGTAGTAGTAGTAGTAGTAGTAGTAGTAGTAGTAGTAGTAGTAGTAGTACAGTAGTAGTAAGTAGTAGTAGTAGTAGTAGTAGTAGTAGTAGTAGTAGTAGTAGTAGTAGTAGTAGTAGTAGTAGTAGTAGTAGTAGTAGTTAGTAGTAGTAGTAGTAGTAGTAGTAGTAGTAGTAGTAGTAGTAGTAGTTAGTAGTAGTAGTAGTAGTAGTAGTATTATTATTAGTAGTAGTAGTAGTAGTAGTAGTAGTAGTAGTAGTAGTAGAAGTAGAAGTAGAAGTAGAAGTAGCGGTAGTGGTTGTGGTGGTGGTGGTGGTGGTGGTGGTTGTGGTGGTGGTGGTAGTAGTAGTAGTAGTAGTAGTCGTAGTAGTAGTAGTAGTAGTAGTAGTAGTAGATGTGTGTTCACCGAGGTCTTTGTGAGGAGCGATTGGTGCAGTTGGACCTTGGTGCACAAAGGACACACCAGAGGGTATGTTCACCGAGTATCGCCGTGAAGCACGCGTCCAGAACCCACAGAAGCGGCAAGGCTGGTGTAGCAGAAAGTGCGGGCTACACCGCAGAACTAGACACGTCATGGCTGCACTTCCGAAAAGTTGAGACTTGTGGTGTGTAGGTTCTCAGGTGACTATGGGTAGGTTCTCTTGTCGGCCTCGCGGCCAGGACAGAGAAACAACATTGCCCCCCCCCTCTGGGAGGGGAATTTGGAGGGCGACGAGCAACGAAAATGGCACCAAGTTCGGTGCCACGCCATCCTTCCAAGGGTTGGCTGGCCCCCACAGAGGATGTACGTGCATGTGCCTGCGGATGGGTCAGCACGCCGAAACGCCGTCTTGCGCACGTGGCCACGTGGCCCCATCTCCGCCTCTCGGCGGCCACAGAAGATTCTTGAAGCCGTGTTCGACCAATTTTTGAAAGAGTATGATGGGATTCGTGGGCATTCACTGCCTGGCCTGTTGCTGCGCGAATGACGTGTGCACCTATGGTAGCACATTCTGGTATGGGGTATTCATGTGATGTGCCGTGCTTTCCAGAATCGCTCATCTTTCGGGAGGTCTGTCAGTTTTCCCAGAGGCTCTGCGAAATCAGAGCCCTGGGATCCTTCTGGTCCCGGGACCTCGGAAAAAAACGATCCTCTGCCGCCCCTGTGTGGATGCTGGAACGCCTGGCATGCCGCCTGCTGGCGTGAAAAGAGTAGACGGGCCGTACCTGCGGATGGACGCACGGGTGCGCAGATCTAGGCCTCCCATACGGGGTCCGAGCAGATAGGGGTCGTAGGATCGCGCCGCAGCGTTGCGGCTCGATGTGGGGCCCGATTTGCTTCATGTCGACGTCGCCGATGCACCGCCGACGTCGACGATGCATCGCTGTTGCATCGCTGTTGCATTGCCGATGCATCGCCGATGTACCGCCGATGCGGCGCGATCTTCCGACCCCATCTACTCCGACCCCATCCAGGAGGCCTCTAATTGAGGACATGTCCTCGCGACGGAAGCAAGCATGCAGAGCATGTGTATGCACGAATGCAAGCGCTGCCACCAGCCAGCGAACGTGGTGAGCGGAGAGACGTGAGAGTGAGCATGACTGCCAGCCTTGCTGATGGGCTGTGTTCTTGATGCAATTGCCTCGAGACCGGGGCCAGCGTGCCTAATCTTTGGATGCGCGAAAGGCCTCATGGTCGCCAGCGTGCCTGTCCCGAAGGAAACCACACGTGGTAGCAGGACAGACGTGAGAGTGCGCAGGACCACCAGCCTTTCCGCCGTGCGTTGTCTGTGCGTCACATTCCCCCGTGGGAGGCAATTTCGGCACTTGTCTTTTCGAACTGAGTCTTCGAGGCAATTGCTTCGCGACGGGTCGTGGTGAAGTCTTGCAGGACGAGTCTCGGAGACAGTGTGCAGGACGGCCAGCTTTGCCGCCGGGCTGCGCCCTTGAGGTAGCATCGCGACGGGGGTCAGCGTGGCAGAATCAATGGATGCACGAAAGCCACCATACTGCCAAGCCACCATCCAAGAGAAGACAAAGCGTGGTCACCGAAGGGGTGTGAGTGTGTGCAGGCTCGCCGACCTCGCTGCCAGGCGTTGTCTTCGAGACCGTTGACTCGCGACGGGGGTAACAAAGCATGTGCGGGTGCTCGACAGCCGGCCTTTGCGCCAGCCGGCGTCGCAGAGGACCTGCGCCGTGGCAGCGCATAAACGTAAGTTTGTGTGTGTGTGTGTGTGTAGGACCGCCGGCCTTGCCGCCGGCTTGTGTCCTTGAGACAATTGCCTCGCGACGGGGGTTCAGCGAGCACCAGCTGTGGATGCACGAGCGTCAGCGCTGACACGTCGAAACGAACACACGGATCGTGCTGCGCGGAGAGAGGCGCGGGGGTGCGCAGGGCCGCCGCCTTGCCGCCAGCCTGTGTCCTCGAGGAAACATCTTCGCGATGGGGGCCAGCGTGCAGTGGAGGGTTTCTGCGAAGGGCTTAGGCGACCTGTCCTTCTCCTCCTCCTCCTCCTCCTCCTTCTCCTTTTCCTCTTCCCCCTCCTCCTCTTCCTCCTCTTCCTGCTCCCCCTCCTCCTCCTCCTCCTCCTCCTCCTCCTCCTCCTCCTCTTCGGGTCGCCTACGGCCCTGGGGGAACCCGTGCAGCGTGCAGAGCCCATTGATACGCGAAAGCCGGCGTAGTCGCCACCCAGCCTTCAGCAGGACACCGTGGTAACCGTAGAGGCGTGAAAGCGTGCAAGACCGCCAGCCTCGAGGCAAAGGCCTCGCGACTGGGGTTGGGGATGCGAAGGGCGCTGGCCTTGGCGCCGGACCGTGTGCTGGTGGCTACTGCCTCGCGACGTGACGCCTCGGTGCCTCGGTGAAGACTTCGAGGTCCTCGAGGTAAAGACCTCTGTGTGGAGACATCGAGGCGAAGACCTCGTGGTGAACACTTCGAGGTGGAACCCTTGAGGTGGAGACCTCGAGGTGGTCGTCCACGAGGTGAAGGCCTCTCGTTGAGTCCTGGGGGTGGAGGCCCCGAGGTGAACACGTGCAGGCGACGACGTCGCAGTGTGCAGGACGTCCGGTCTTGCCGCCGCGCTTTCCTCGAGGTAAGTATTCTTGTGCCGGTGTCCTCCCCTGGCTTCTTAAACCTTGGTCAAGCAGTGGCGAAGCGTCCTGGCTCGCCTATAGCACTACCAAACAATGTTCTAAGAACTTTTCGTGGTTCCCACGACATGTTATAATCTTTCTGGCTGAGGCTGTCTTGTTTTAACACATCGGGTTAATGTTCTAAGAACATTGTTTTTGTTCTTAGAACATTTTTGGGTTCTAAGAACATTTCGTGGTAGGACTATAGGAATGTCGGGACGGT